ATATGGTCTTATGTGTACCGTGTATGTTACCAAAGGACACACAGTGATCTAATTCAGTAATGCTGGAGCTGATACGAAATAAGCACGGGGCAAAAGCACTAAACATCTGAGCCAGTTAATTTCTCAAGGGACTGACTAATGTTGTTGGGGAAACAGCTTCATTCTACCTTCCTAGAATTATGGAAAGTCACCAAAGACTGCATATTGTCTTATTTAATATTTATGCATTGCCTTTGAGGTCTCTTGGCAATGGCTATTTTTTTATCTTAGTGGTAAAAACATCATGGAAGAGGCCACTTTGTAAATGAGCAGCAGCTTTAAGTTGTGGTTCACATCATCACATTTTAAACATTCAACCCTACATGTTCAATTTTCATATTTTCATATTTGAAAAATAGGTGTTGAAGAGTGCATTTTTGGTGTTGGAATAATATTAAGGTTGATGAGACTATTTGTTTTTGAGATTTTTTTTTAATCATTTACAGATCACTTGGAAAGATCACAGATTGCCTGGAGCATCTCAACAGTCCATTCGGGGTATTTTCTTTAGACTAATCTTATGAAGGATAGGTTTTACCTTCTGGTCACACACCTTTTATCAGCTTTAACAACAGGAAGCTCAGGGGCACACTTTGGTTAAAAGAAAGCTCCTGCTGTGAGATTATATTTTACCTAACGTTGCTTTCAAGCCGACAGGGAAAATGCTTTTATGTTAGAGCAGATAGAAATGCTCACTATTATTGAAGGGGTGTGGCATGTGAACCAGCCATAAGCAGCTAAGATTCAGTATACAGCATGAAACACTCCATGAAAATATCAGAAGAGCTGCAAATCAGAACCAGTTTGCAGCCAATAAAATAGTATCCCCTATCCCCTAAACTCTCTTGGTGACATATTATATCTCCATCTCATGGTTAATTAAACAACACCATTACATTTGTTGCATGGAATAATTTATACAGTATTTCAACAATGAAAACTGTAAACAGTTCTTTAAATGCTAAAAGCCAGAGGAAAAAATGAATGCCCTAATCCCTATCAAAAAACAATGCAATACACAGATTGTTATATTGTTAAAAACATTTTATACAGTTGTGTAGCCTTTCTGTACATTTTATACAGAATAATTAATGCCAACTTTCAAAAGCCTGGTAGTCTAACAGTAGTTTTAACATAGCTGTAGCAAGGAGCTGTTACTCAGAGATTTTTTCTCCATCAATATGAACAAAAATGAACAATAACAATAAATAATGAATCGATTATCAATATGAACAATCAAACTACAAGAACATAATGTTAGTGTAAATAACACTTTCAATGTTATTATCTAAACCAGTTATACATTTTTAACTGTAAACCGTTTTATATTTACAGTTTGATTTCTAAAATATTATTAGCGATACGTACTTAAGGAGATTACTTCTATTATTCGTTTTTCTGCAAAGTAAACTACAGCAGGAGGTTAGCCTAAATTAATGTTAGCCTAAATCAAAAATTATTATCACATACTGTTATGTAATGTGGTAAAAACTTCAATGATATAGAAAGCTGCGCTGACTTAAAAGGTTCAAATACCAATAGTACCTCTACAAGTTATTTCAAATTTGTTTCAATAAAATATCCACAACTGAAACATTACTTGCAAAGCATAAACAATGAAAGCAGAGTCTAATCTCTGTAAAGCATCCTAAGATACTATGGGAATCCTGGGTTTTCTAATCTTAACAAATTTCGTCAATTTTTCCTAGTGTACAGTTCATTAAATATAAACTGGAACAAGAAATTCATTATTGTAATCCTGACAAATACAATATTCAGTCAGACAGACATCTGTGAACCCTTCACTACCATTCAACTGACAAGGATGGTGAACTGGTGAACTTCTGTCTGCTTAGCACCTTCCAGACTCTCATTCTCTATCAGTCATTCTGGATCAGGGATGAAAGGCTCAGTTGCACATTGAATGGTTCAAAGTTATCACAAGATATGTGACCCTCACCAAGACAAAATGACTCAAAGTAAGTGGATGGGTATAATTTAAAGTTACCCTTCATATTTGTTAAATTCACTGCAGTGTTAAAACAGAGTCTATAATTTACTTCACTTGTTAAATTCGGAACCCAGGAATTCAATGATAGTTCTAAACCATAGACGGTGCTTTGGGCATTCATGCCAAAAGAACTGCCAACAAAATTATCAGATGCTCTTTCCTACTGTAAATGTTTCTATCTAATATTTAAGAAATCCACTCCAGTTAAACCTCCCCAAGTAACAACAGACTCATTCCCAAAGATATATTGTGCCATCATCTAGCTGCAGTTACTTTACTTTCCAACTGAGTGTCTAATACAAACAAAAAATGGACAACATCATATCATGCATATTACTATTGAATGAACCCAGCAAGGAAAATTATTCCATAGTTTGAGGTGAAAACTATTTTGTATCTCTACAAATTTGTAGCAGTTTCTACAATAATTTGTAATGGTTTATTGATCATTAAGTGAAACAGGTAATTCTATTATTCTGCAAAGGAACCTGAAGAAAGCTCAAGTGACGAAACATTGTGTCTCTTTTCTTTTAAGCATGCAATAAACCTTTACTTGTTCCTTTACAGCCTACACATGTTGACACAGCTACCTACTTGAAATTCTATTATTCTGAATTATAATATACAAGAACTATGAAGTATGAAGTAAACAAATTTACATTAATCTTATTTTTTTCCCGAGAGTAGCACAGTGGTGGGAGTCCTGGGTTCAGTTCTGGACCTGGGGTGCTATCTGTGTGGAGTTCTATGTGCTCCCCATGAATGCGTGGGATTTTGCCAGATGCTCCAGTTTTCTCTCACAGTCCAAAGAGATAATGGTAGGTTAAGTGACCTCTGGGAAAATTGGCTCTACTGTGCCTGTGTGTATCTGTGTATGCCCTTAGATGACAGGCATCCAGTCCAGGGTGTACACGTCTACAGTAGCATCAGTGGCTTGCCAGGATAGTCTCTGGCTCCCTCGCAACCCCTGTATTGGATCAAATGGATGGCTGGATGGATGGATATTTGTCTTATAATACCATCCATGAATGAATTAGATCTATGAAAATCTTTTGTATAGATCCACGTAGTAATCCCTAGCTGGCCTGACCTAGTTTGGAAGGCCTTCAGGTTATATCTCAAATCTATACAAGTCCATATGATATTTTAGAATAACTTACATTGTTTCCATGTAATCTAAGTTAAAGGAGGAACACGTAGAAATGGATAAGACTTGAAAACCTAATTTATTCAAAAATATCTAGTAATAGTTTAACCATGGACATTTTTCACTGGGCCATTCACAGTTTAACCATGTCCATTTTTCACAGGGTGGAGCAATGGCTCTGTGGCTCAGGATCTGCACCTGTGACTGGAAGGTTGCTGGTTCAAATCCCATGGCTGGCAGAGGAATCTGACTCTGTTGGGCCCCTGAGCAAGGCCCTTAACCCTAACTGCTCCAGGGGCACTGTACAATGGCAGACCCTGTGCGCTGACCCCAAGCTTTTCTCCCTGTCTGTGTCTCCATGGGGAAAAGCTGGGGTATGTGAAAAGATGAATTCCTAATGCAAGAAATTGTATAGGACTAATAAAGAAACATTATTATTACATTTTCATAAAGTATACTGCTTGCATAAGTATACTTGTTTGTACACATTCTGAAGTAAAAATTAAATCAGTTTCTCTTCTTAACAGTCGAAAATCAAATCTCATAAAAAAGGAGCCTCACAAAGAACAATATCTGCATCCAGAGAAAGAGCAAGGAAGAAAAGTAAAACTGAATTTACTTTGTTTGCACTACCTAGTACTATTGCAGTTTTAATGCCTGTATTGATTTGTGAAGCACAAACGCATAATACCTCTGCAAAAAACATGGTTGAAAATACAGAAACTGACCAATAATATGAAGAGTTACACAAGCCAATGATATTTTTTGCTCCATAAAGTAACAAGTAGGTGTTAACAAGTGCACACTGGCATTAATATTCTAATAGATATACCAGATGATATCAGCGCAATGTGTCTGAATGGTTTCTGTACTGCCTTCTGTTCTGTAATGCATTTGTGTCATAACTAAACCATTAACGTGCTTTTTTAAAGCTCCAGATATTATATATTAAAGCTTCATCTTCCATTCCACTGTATTCTGTTGATATAATATAAACATTTAATCTCTGGTGCCTCCCAAAATGAGCAACATACTATCAATTGTGTTCAATTATTACATTTTGTATCGGTGTACTGAAATTAGATTTATGTTCTAAGCTTGTTGGTGACATTGACATTGACAAGTTACTAATTATTTTCACTAATAGACAAATCCATATATTTTTTTAATGATGCATAGTATTGTTCCCTTAAAATTGATTAAATTAACAATAATAAATCAACGAAACTCAGCTTTTTGACCATTTAACATAAAGTGGATATAATGTTATTTTGTACTTTTTGCCCAGAACAGTACAATTATAGAACGTATTTAGATACTGTATTTATCTAATAAACTAGCTACTTTTGTGTTTTTGTCCTCTGACCAATCATTTCTGTATTCACTGGACAATTGCATACAGTATAAAACAACACTAATGCCGTTCATAAATGGTTTTCAGTGATCGACTGCAGAACTGAACTTTAAACCTTAAAATGAACAGTGTTTATATATAAATCGTCTGGAAACATTTTTGTTTTATCTCCGAGAATTAACACTTTTAAAGACTGAAGTGTTTTATTGTTGCTGTTGTTGAGAAACAAAAAATCCTAGAGCTCCGAAAGAAATCAGAGTTTAAAGTATGATAGCCTTTTCTTTCAAACTAGGAAATAGGCATTCAGCTCTCCCCAAGTGACAATCCCACCTTTGCAAACCAGATGAACTTCACGCGCTAACGTGAATAGACCCAGAATCAACAACTAAATGGTTTCAGACTTCAACGGGTGAACACCAAAACGTGCTATAAAGTAAAATTGTACTTACCATCTTCTTTTTCATCAAAGACTGGCCTTTTGGAAGAACTATTAGCTCCCATTCTTTTTTTCCACTTGCCCCAGTGAAACATTTATGCAGGAGCTCAGAGAGCATTCCTTACTTCGTAAAGAACTAACAGAGCCGTGCAGTACACGTTTAAAAATAACATCTAGCTGCATCCCAGTCACTAAAGTCTCTTCCCCATTTAGGCTACTCTGTTTAGCAGTAGTCAATGAAAACCTTTTGGATGCTTTGCAATAAAAATAAAATGGAATTTCTCTATACAGTATACATTCAAAGGTGATTGTCTGCAGAGACGCCTTTTAAAATTGTTCCTTCTTTCTGCTCACATGTACGGATATTCACAGACTTAAAATCTAATATCAGTTTTTTTTTTGTCGCGTGAGGATATCTTAATAAAAAAAAAGCCCCGCTCATCAGACGCTCGTCGAGTGTGTACACCAGTAGCGTTATACCATCTCTATGCAAGTACTGTATTACCTAACTGAATGGTGTTAATTAGAGATAGGTGGCGCCAGATCTTAGAAAAATCATTTTAACACTTTAAAGACCATTTACATTAAATATCTATTTTTTTTCTACAATTACAAAAAATATTTATTGACTATTTTTTGTCGTCCAACAAAATTTTCAACAAAACACAGCTATTAGTTTCACAAAAATGTATTATAAAGTATATAAGGTGTTGTGTTAGGTGTTGTTTTTGTGCATGAGATTTTAAACAAAAGATTGGTATTGCAGCACATTGTTTTTTTATCGACAAAACCCATTTAGTCCTTCCGTTGATTTACTCTGTGACAAATTTTATAAACGTGAAATTTTACTGATGGTTGTCTTGCATGCTGTTAAAATAACTCATATTAAAAATACATTTTGGAATTCCTTGTGTTCAACATATTTGGACCTTAACAAGTCAGACTTGGCTATAATAAGAATGAATGTCCTGGTATCTACTGTCTGTTGTAATAAACTTTTACATTTCAATTGTATGTGGAATTCGATATTGTCGTCATGTTTTCCATAATTAAGCATGCGTTTAGACAAATTGTCCAAAAGCTAAAGGCTCAACGTTTATTTAATTTTGCACACCTTACCTACAGTAAATGTGAACTGTGGAATCTCAAGTCCCTTTGAAAAGCTTTCAAATATTTGAGTACATGGAGATAACTTAAATATTCACAGGTTTTACTGCTGATGTTTAAGATATCGACCAAATGTCACAACAGTGAATTATTTTGCTCTCACTATACTACATAACAATTTTACGTGACAAAGCTGTTTTAAGGTAGCGTCCTATTTGACCCAAAAGAGACACCGTAGTTATATGTTGCCCTTGCGTGTCTTGTCACCATGGAAATAGGGTACAGCGCGTTGTTGGAAGTGGTTAAGTGTGCGGGTGTTGATAACTTATATTTTATGAAACAAGTCTGTACTTCTGTTTTTCGTTATGTTATTGTGCTGTAGGTGTAAATAAATTATGAAACATCATTTATGGTTTCAAGGCAATACAATATACATTATTTTTCCAGATTGCAAAAACAATAAAATACCGTGAGTAAAAGGTGGGATTGCATTACGATGTAATTTGAATGCTGGCTCCTGTGTCCTTAGAGAACTGCTATTAACGTTGATATAGTATTTAGTGGTAGCTGTAGTAGTACGGCATTAATAGCAGCATCCCCTGTAACTGTATACTATTTAGTCAATAAGACAAGATTATTTTTAAAGATAAAAAGAACTAAATTGCTTTAGTAAATGCTGTAGTCTGTGACAGGTTTGACAGATGTACAGTAATTGAACTGAAACGGCGTGTTTTGATCGGGGCCTGCCGGAATACTGCTTCGGCAGTATGACTGTCTGGGATTAGAAAGAACATGACATATTATACAAAAAACGTGGACTATTGTGTATACTGTAACTGATTTCACTTGTCCCTTTCAGCAGTTAAGTGTTTGATTCTGTTTACTTGCTGTATCTGTAGGGCTGGTTTTAAACAATCAAAAAGTCTAATGAAGTGACAAAAACGGAATGGGAGACAGTTGTGTATACAGTATCTGACAATTTGAACAAGCTGAGACCCATCATGGCGCTATCTGAAGAGGAAACCCAAGATGTACTTTTAAGTCTCCAAAACGGCGACAATGCTACAAAAAATAATGCGTGTCTTCAACTTGAAGTGAGGACCATCCTGAACACCGAGTATTTGTCTGCGGGAACTTTGGATTTAAGCAGAAAAAATCTTCATTTCATTACAGATGACATTTTAAGACTGTCAAAAATACAAGTAAGCTTTCTTAGTAATGCTATGAACAGAAATGTTTAAGCAATATTGATTACACGTTTCAGTAGGCTTTTTTGGTAGAGCTAAGTGAAGACGTTTATTAATTTAATTTGTAACGTAAGAAATCAATGGATATAAGAGATCAATGGATATAAGCCAATGCTGATACCCAAAACTTAAAACAAAATCACGTACAGTAGATCACATATACCTTGAATTGATCAGAGCTGTCAACATTTACGCAACAAATTTAATAACTAATGCACGGTCATACCATATACACAAGAGAGAATAATGTCTTAACCCCCCCTCCAGAATTTATATCTTGAAGGAAATGAAATCTGCAAGATTCCTGACAACTTTTTTAACAGTTTATCAAGTCTCATCTGGTTAGATCTGAGGAACAACAAAATTACATGCCTCCCTCCAGAAATTGGGCAACACAGGTAAGTAAACAGTATGCTGTATTCTATATGTATGGAATTATCATACAATTAGTTATTATATAAGAACTATCCAAATCAAATATGCATTATTTTAATGTTTTTAATTTTTTCTTTATGTGGTTGTTCATGAAGATTCAGTTCAAATCTGCCAGAACTGGAATTAGTAATACAATTTGGACATTCTACAAATTTAATGTAATCCACTGGAAGGTGTTTTAATAAATCTTGCATTACTAGAAATATTTTCATTTTGGTCTCCATTTTGTTTTAAATATCAATACAAACAGAGATTCGACAGTTGAAAAAGACTACTCAAAATTAGGTTTTTGGTGTTTACATTTTCTTTTCTTTATTTCTCTTTTACTTTTATATCAGTTCATTTAATATGTCTTGTCATGTTTTCTTTTACCCATAATTTTTAGGGGTCTTAAAACATTATTATTGGAAGGCAACCCAATTAAGGAACTTCCAGTACAGTTGGGTGAGTTCATAAATCCAATCTCACAATCACTTGAATGCTCTGCCGTCCCTAGATTAATTGATAATCTAATTTTCAAACATCCTGCTTTTTGAGTTTATTGTTTACAAAGCAAGCAGTGAACCACTATATACTGCACTGTTCTTTTTTGTTGTAGTTAAAAAAACGGAATAATTCTTTCTTGGTTACTCAGTTATACATTTACAATGGCATTTATTCTTTTGTTTACTTTAATAATGGGCTGACATAAAATTATTTTTCTGTGAAAGATTTGTTTGTGTATTTTACTCAAAGTTAATTTTTCAGTAACATTTGTTTAATAAGACGAATGCATATCTAAAAAAGTTTGGTTTTACCTGATTAACTTAAGAATTCAAAAGAACTTGCAAAAGATATTCTGTATATATACAGTTAGAAGGATAAACATTAAATCCATATCCAATTTTGTATGGAAATGTACTTGTATTCTTTTAATTAATCTCTAATGTAAAACACGATTCCAGGTAATCTGATAACTCTCAGAGCACTGAGCCTGAGGCACTGTCCAATTGAATTTCCTCCTCAAGAAATTGTTCACCAAGGTCTGCAGTGTATTCTTAAATTCTTAAGGAGTACTGTGTCTGGTAAACCTGTCAATGTAAGAAGCTCTCTCCAAGGTATGATTACGATTTTGTGTGTTGTGCTTTATTTATGTAGTGCACAATTTGTAAATGTTTTTTTACAAAGAAATGTATTTGTAACAGGAAAAGTGTTTTGTTCTGGTTTTTCTTCAGTAGTGACCTACAGTATGTTGGTATGGAGACTTAAGTACAACCCAGTCTGCTTTCTTATAAACTAAAATATTTGTATATACTTAAAATAGTAATCTCAGTGTTAGAATTTTATTATTAAGTCATACAAATGTAGAAGATTTGAGACACTGCCTTGTCTAAGTCATTCTCTCCTAAGCAGAAAAAATGCCATAAATACCCTGGTGCCTGACAGACATTTGTTGTAAATACAGTAGATATAGAGTAGAGTATGATGATACTGTCTTGATCTAGATTTATGATAAAATTATAAGACAGATGCTTTATTGTGGATTTCACAGACACTGATGCAAATCAGATGTAAATGTGTGTTGTTCACAAGGCCTAAATAATTAATGTAGAATTTGTTTAAGGGCGTTTTGGGCATAAGTGTTTCTTCAACTGTTTGGAAAGAGATGTAACTACAGTGCAGTAAAGTAAAATAGAGTGTAATTAATATACTTCACTTGCTTATGCACAGTACTGTATATATCATTTGGTTTAGTTTAAATTAGTCTCCATTTGTATTTGATCATTAAAGTATTTTGTAACCTGATTATTTAATTATATGAATATTTTGAATATATGTAGATACAAATACTTTATTTTAAAGTGCAGTATCTAATTAATATTTCTTTTCATGAAAAGCCTAATATTGTTTCTGAATACAGGGTTACAAAAACTATAGACTTGGGCCAGTGGCACTATTAAAACTTATAAACAAGGAAAAATGATAGGCAAGAATCCCCTTCCTATTAAATCATTCAGCGAGCTCTGGAAAAAAAATGGAGAGTTAAATTGATACGTTGTAGTTAAGATTTACATTTATGGTTCAATTACAATAGTCATTTAGATTTGTTTAATTAAAATAATAGAAAAGTGAATTTTGGTGTTTAGGATGTTTTAGGTTTTTTATGGGGTTTAGGTGTTTTATAATATAAATGTTTCTGGACTTATAGAGTTGCCTCCAGTTGAGAAGCTGAAGTTGACTGACTTGGTAAAATCAAGTTCAGATTTTTCTGAAGACTGGCCTAATCAAGAGGAAATGCAAAAGTTTGAAAAGTTAAAACAGGAGATGATCCGTATTGAAAAGGCTGATATTGGGGATGGCTTCTCGCATCAGTTTCCCCATCAGCTGGCAACAGAAGCTGATTTTGATGCCAGAATCCATGTCATTCCATGTATTAAAAGGTAAAAAAAATTCTAGTGCTTAAATATTGTGGACTATATTGTGAATACGCAATAAATTGTTGTTTTTTTATACTATTTTTGGTTATATCTGGTTTATTTTTGAATTACTCTTTTACACTTTTCATATCGCATGGTATTATTAATTGTTTTGGTGGATCAGTAAGCTTATAAGTTATAATAATTGTGGTAGAACTTCAACATACTGTATACTGTACTGAGTGTTCTTAATATCCACTCTAAGATGGAAGGGTGTTATTCCATATATATGTAAGATACTTGTATTTAATGGTATGAGGCAACATTATATTAATAGCATAGTTTAATGAGATGATAGTAAGCAGGGAAGATGCTATCAATGAGTCGTGAGCTTGACATGCTACATTAACTATATGAGGTAATCAAAACGCATTCCTTTAGAATTTATTTTCTAATGATTGATCGGTGGAGCACTGAGCTGATGTTCTTGAAAATTAGAGCTTTCATAGTTTGAATTCTTTTTGTATATTTTTTCATAATAAATGTGAAATATTTCCTTATATAACCTTATTATCTGGTCAGTATTTACAACTACTTTTGTTTATTTTATATATACAGAAATGGACACATCTGTAAATGTTCCTTACTGTACGGAAATACATATTTTTATTGGAAATACACTAACCTCTGACTCAATATTATTTCAGAAGAAACGATGTACTTCAAGGTACATTTCCAGAGCTCCCACCATATGAAATGCACTCTCCAAAGAAACCTGAGGAACGAAAATTAGCTGCTTTAAAGGAATTTAATGAAAGACAAGCCTTACTTGAACAACGTAAGAAGTGAGTTAATTAAAAACATGTACTATTGCATGTATTTACTTGCTCATATATATGTATATTGTCCCATGTACAGTAGGGGTGTATTAAGAGTTGATAATATCAAGTTAAATAGTTAATTCAGACACCACCTTGAGTACAAACAATTTAATAAAAAATAAATTATAAAACCAGCTGTATGTAATTATGACCACAGCAGATTATTACTACTGACAAACACTTTTTTATCAGAAGTTGGGATTCTTCATGAGAAAAACATTGGTCACTATATAATGAGTCATCAAGATAAATAAGAATGACAAATTGTGCCTGAAAGGGAAAATGTAATACTTCTGCAAATATGAAAAATACAGCCACTTAACCTGAATTTATTGAGTTTTTCAGTGCAACAATTGTAACATGAACTACTAATGATCAATGAATTTATCCCCATAAATTGCTTAAAGTACGTACTTCATTTTGTTCATATCATTGGTTAGGTAGAATTGTTTTTACCTCCTTCCAGTTTCAGAAAGCAGGGCTGTATTCTGACAAATAACACAGTGCATTTGCTGGAGTGCCAGAAACGGAGAGATCTGTATGTTGTTTCCACAAACAAGAGCAGTAATCAGGGGTATGTAAAAAATGAAACCCACATGTTACTGTAAAATTAGGTTACTTTGAAAACCAAATGAGAACATCTTTTGTTAAAGATTTTAAATTGTGTGACACTGAAATGTTCAGTGATTGTTCATACTCTGTTTGATTCATTAAACCTCAAAATTAGACTGCATGATTTTCAGCTTGGTTCAAAAATAAAATTCTAAAACTCAGCACTTGAAAATCTCCCTTTTAGAGATGCAGAAGTACTGAAAGAGTGGAGAGCAAAAGCAAAGATCATGCAAGAGAAGAAAGCTATGGAGCACAAACAAGAGAGAAAAAAACAGATCAAAAGAGATGAGGTAAATATTTAGACTGATTTAATTAAATTAAAAATAATGTCTAATTCTAAATATGAACAAATAAAGGTTTATTCCAAGAAGAAAAGAAAACAAAAGAAACACAACGTTTCAGCTGTGGATCCTTCTTCAGGTGTCACCCGCCTACACATGCTGACGCAGCTACCTATTTAAATTTATAAAGTAATATTTACTTTTATATCTGTTTGAATCCGCAAAGATAATAACATAACATCACTTTATTTACCCTATACAATTTCTTGCATTAGGAATTTGTCTTTTCACATACCCCAGCTTGCTCTCCATGAGACACATAATATACCATGGGTGGCAAGTGGTATGAAGCGTTCTGCTAGTGTATAGTTCAAGTAAAAAGAAAAGGACAGCTATTATTCTGAAACAGAAGCAAGAAGTTATCAAGCGATTTTAGAGAGATGAAAATGATTATTTCTTAGGGATGTAAGTACTGATGCATATTATGTCTCGTGAATATTAAATCTCTACCCCCTAACGCCTTAATTCGCATTGAACCAGTGGTTTCTACAATACGATTTTCCATGTGTTCTCTGTGTTTTATACCTATCATGTTATAGCAGAAATGCCTGTGTTTGAATTGCTGCAACTATACGTTTAGGGTTAGGCCATGATTTATCATGTGATTTCTAAACACCAGAGGGTGCTGTTACCCAGTAGTGTACCACAAAATCCTAGTTTGCAGTCCATATACTCCATTGAGTTATTAGTAATAATAAAAATTATCCATGTTGAATTATTACAATTTGTTTGGAGGGATGGATTATGGATCAAAAAGGAGAATGTTTTGGTAAGCTTTATAAAGGGCAGAACAAATCATTTTAATCATTCATTGGACACCACACACAAAATTTTATGTGTTAAAATTTAAAGTGTTAACACTATAATATAAAGTGCTATAAGTGTAAGATAGATAATGCTGGATATTTGTTATATCTAGTTTGTATTCTTACTGTAATTTTTATTAAACTGTTTATTGATTTTTGTGACACTGAATAGAGGTATGTTGTGGTCCCCACAATTATCTAAATTTGAAAATTGAATGAAAGTGTAATTTATTTAGATTCACCATAACTATGTGCCCTCCTCATAATCGTCCATCTTCACTCTAAGATTTAGTTTAGAATGTCAGTATAATACATGTTGGTACATCCTACTGGAAACTAAATAGTTGCATTCTTGTAGTAATCACAAAATAATATATTTAACTAAACAGAATATCTTTTGCCCTTTTACTCTTAAAAAGAATTTTAAAAAGATAGCTTCCAGCTGTGTTGAGGTTGAGCCGAGGTTCAGACAGTCTTTATCGACAGTGCCCTTTACTAGTGTTTCTGAAAGGCCCCAGTGCAGTCAGTGTGTGGAATCTGTGAAGCAGCAGCCAAAAATCATCGGTGAGCCACTTCCAGAGGTAGTAATTCATTTTACATAAACATTTTTTGGGTTATAATTACAGGCTTGGATTTAAACCATTTTAATCTTTCCTTTCTAGTATACTAAAACTGCTAAAGCCTTTCTATACTTGTGTAGAACAAACATTTGTATATATGTTTGTGATTAACTTTTAATGTTGGGCTGTCTTGAACTTTGTGTAATGGTACATACTGTAGATTAGTGATGTATTTATTTGACTGGGTATTGAGATTTCAAAATGAAAATCCAAAAAAAGATCAATATTTATTTACAGGTTGTGAAAAGTGCACCATATGCAATGGATTCAGATGTCTGTCAATTAGCTGACAACCTTGAATCAGTAAATAAAAATATACACAGGCTGCAGAACTTAGAGAAATACAGGACTGGGAAATCTTTAAAGGAACTTGATGAGGAAAGGTAAGTTATTTGTGTTAATCCTTAAAATAAAGAATAGGACTAAACATGTATGTAAAAGCTGGAAAGAAATTCTGTCTCTTTTCTAATTAACATGAATGGTCAAGTGCAATTGAATGTCAGGAAAGTAAAAATCTGTTATATGAATCCGTTATTCTTATTTTCTTATTAATTTTTAAAATGTCTTTTAGAACCCACTGCATATATGGTGTTCATATCTTAGTGATCCCTGGTGAATTCCTGTAGTTTTTAATAGATTCTTAATCTACTTATGGTGAATCACTCCTCAGAACCTTTTCAGACCCTGTCTATGTTGTGTGACCTGTGCTTTTTCTTGCTTACTTCAGTTTATATAATTAACATTCTACTACAGATCATGAAAACCAATCAAGAACACAGATTTTAAGCTCTTAACCTTTTGGTCATTGAGTTTGATGCAGTTTTTGTGGTGTTATCATATTGTACATTTTTTGCAACCACATTTGAAACTTGTTGAAAGAAGGCACCAGACGTTTGGCTAAAGTATCATGGTAAATTTTCTAATCACTATGTTCCTCATTATATTTTTTTACTCCAGGACTAGAAGATGCAAATAAACCATAAAGCAGACAGTTTAATTAATCACAGGATGACATTCTTTTTCAACATGAGCTTCATCTGTACTAATAATACTCCTAGTGAGATTTTCCAAAAACCTTTTATTTTATGTTGCCATGGAACAAAGTTATCAAAGTCATTATATTATCAGAGACATTATATTCTGATGCTACTAAAGGTTTTTGAAGATTCACAATTGTTACCATTGAGGTATTTTCCTAAACCCCTTTCCCAGCTGCAGATATAAGTAGAACTACTGTATCTTACTGTAGGTCCTCTTTATGGTAGGGTAACAACTACTGTATGTTGATAATGTTTTATATCTTCATACAATTCTGAGTGTTTTTCTTTTGTGTTCAGTGACCTTTAACAACCGCTGGCAATTACTTTAACTTTCCAACACTTCTATACAATTTCTGATGCTTTTTGAAACTATTAGATGACTAAACATCAGAGGATTACATTTATTTTCAATGTAGGGTATGAATAAATATGATCATCATGTATTTAGAAAAATATTTATTTTCTAAATAAAATAACAGTTTGGGTGGGTAGCTGCATCAGCATGCATAGGCTGCAAAGGTGAAAAGAGCAGAAAGGAAATACAATGTTTTGGCTGTTGTTTCCTTTCTTCTCTTTTCAGCATGGAATAAACCTGTTAAGATAAGATTGCTTCATTGGCCATACAATTTTTTGCATTAGGAATTTGTTTTTTTGCATACCCCAGCTTGCTCTCCATGAGACACACAGGGAGAGAAATACTTGGGGTCAGAGCACAGGGTCAGCCAGTTATACGGCAGCCCTGGAGCAGTTGGTGTTAAGGGCCTTGCTCAGGGGCCCAACAGAGTAGGATTCCCCTGCCAGCTGTGGGATTTGAACCAGCACCCTTCCAGCCACAGGTGCAGATCCTTAGCCACAGTGCCACCACTCCACCCATTCTTATGTATTTGTTATTGATATACAGTAATAACTATTCTTTTTCATGCATTTATTATTTTAGAAATTGTAAGAAAGCTTGATGTGCACCTGTATTTTTTTTGCTAGGTCAACTTTTCTTTATTGTTAAAAATTCTCACAAAGTCTTATGGAAGTATCTGGTATAAGCTACCCAACCATGTTGTCTAAGTAGATACTCTGGGATCATCTAATCAATTAGATACTAGCAACTGAACAAGCTTCTCTCGTTTCTAACCTTTCTTACTGTATGTTCTTGTGTCTCCTAATGAGATTTTAAATCATAGAGTATGCTTTATGAAAGAAAATCTATTATAGAAATTCTTGTTTTTTCTTTAACTGATATATTCAGAGCTGCTCGAGATAGAGAGTTAGAGTATCGAATTAGAGCACATATACAAATGATGCAGGAAAGAAGAAGGAAACCAAAAGGCACAACCCAAGAGGAATTAAATGTAACAAGAAAAGAGATGGAGGCTGTAAGTATAATTTAAAACAAAACCATTTTCATATTTTGTATTTAATTAGTAGATGGGTATATGCAGTGAAAATCTTTAAATTTTCAGAACCGTGTATTTTATCAGAACAAACTTAAAAAACATAATTTCAAGAAATGTGATAATAATACAAAATATTTGTCAATTATTATATTTATCTGTAAATAATGTACTTGTTCTAAACATTTCACCAGTAAATCGAGATGCTGTATGTGTCAGTATTTTTTTTTTCTTCCAATAGACCAAACAGCTACAGTCTGAACTTGTTCAAAGAAAATTAGAAAGAGATGTTCCACTGGAATACAGGTTTACAGCCTTTACTGGAGAGCAGTCACCAAGAAGTTTAGACAATGGATTTCCACAGAATGTCTTTTCTAATGTGAAATTCTGAAGTACCACAGATTCTGAAGTCCTATGTTATATGAAAGAAACGTGTACTGCACCTTGTGGCAACAAACAAATGCTATGATGATCATCTTTCCAGTGTGAAATACAAGTTTTCACAAATAAAACATTAATAAAATGTTTCCTGCAAACTACATGTCTTTGTGTTGTACAAACTGAAAGGAACAATATCTTGAAGTTAACTTTGAATTCCACTGGTTGTAGGGTTCAGTTCTTGATCACTTTGCCTGTCTGGAATTTTGAATGTTCTCTACACATTTATGCATTTATTTTCCACCAAGTGCTCTAGTTGCCTCCTAGTTTCCAAAAACATGCTATCTAGTTTAATTGGAGTTTCTAAATTGCCCCTGTGTGGTTGTGTGTAAATGTGTATGTACACACCCTTTGATTCTGTCCAGTGTAGTCTTTTGTTTTGCCTTGTGCATCCAAGATTATATCCAAGATAGGCTCTGGGTTGTTACAGCCCTGACCAGGAAAAAGTGGTCAGTAGTTAAACAGTATACTTATGTAAACGGTACTTATATAATTATCCGTTTTGTCATCAGTAAGTCAATGTACAACTTCAACAAAGTTCCTTTGTCTAAATAAACTTTTTTTCTAATTTTGGCAAATGTATCAGAAGAAAATCATGAAGTACATCTAAAGAAGCTTCCGAACTCTCTAATGCGGATAATCTATTGTATATGTAGACTTCAGAACCAACTTTATGAGCATTAAAACTGCTGTTAACATACAGTATCTAAGCGGTGTTATTGCATTCACATAGACAGAATCTGTACAGAGAACTCTGTATTGAATTTCGCCACTGTGGGGCGTTTTGTGCACATTTCTGTAGTTAATTTGCTTTATGTATCTGATCGGACAAGAAGCTCGCGAAGGAACTGGTAATATTCTATGATCTTGTTTTGTTTTTGTGAATTTATCCGCACTGTATGCTGTGAAGCTATCCAAAGTGCTTTACAATCGTATGGTAATAAAAATTATGTTCTTTGCTTTGATTACATGCTGTTGTTTCTGGAGTGTTAATTTAAGCATTCAATTCTGCTTTATCAGCAGCAACACCTGTGTAATATTAATGGGAACATTTTTCAGTTCACCATTGTTGACAAATGTGAATTTACAGTGACTACAGTGTATCCAAGTTGTTTTTAGTTTACTTTGTTTCCAGATTGTAACTACGCTAATTCTTCACGAATATTGCTGTTCTGCAAACACGTTTAAAAGTATCTGCATTGCAACCTCATGTTTTAATATTTCAAAACCATGCAACGTTTGTATTTTAAGTAATTATCTTACCCTTTTTTCCTTGTTTGCCTCGTTTACCTGTTTATATCAATGGTAATGAGATTTCTGTTTATTTATTAAAGACTAAATCTAATCTTATGCTAAACCTAATGCTCTCTGTCCAAAACTGTTTTTCTAAGATATTGCTTAAGTTTAATGGTTTTTTAGAAGTAGGCACTATAAAATTCCGTATAATGTTAATAAGATTTGTATTTAATAATTGAAATAACATTCCCATGTGATTACTAAACACTCCTGGAAAAACTGTACACAAAACTTTCAGGGCAAGGGCATTTTTACTCCGGTAGTTGGTAGACGTTTTAAATTTCTCATGGGTACAATATTAAACTACAGTAGTATTCTTTCATCCAGATTTGTCATTATTCAACTAGGGTCTGTGTCCATTCTATGACTGTATTCCCCGTTCAGTCTTAAAAATAAAATATTTAAACAAGTTGAAACTCATAGTAACATGACATAAATTAAACTAAATATATGTAAACGTGTTGTTAAGATCAACTAATGCAACAATGACAATCCATTACGAATGATTAAAAAAACGCGGGGGTAAGTAATACATGATGCAACCCAAAAACTACACAGTTTGAATTTCATAAAGGTACAGTACTTATCTATATTTAGAAACAAATAGGTGCAATTATTTAGGAATTGGTTGATATGTAGTTCACATATCAGGATACAAAGAAAAAACACAAAGTAATTTATGTCAAAACGTTGACTGTTACTGCATTTCTGTAGATCCAAAAATATGTTACAGTTCTAATAAACATCGTGCAAGAATGCCGATACAGTAGTTCCTTTTTCATTTGGGCCAGCAATGTTTAAGGATTCCTCTCGTCTTTCTTTGTGATGTCACCACTGGCAGAACTGTTGTAATTGCCTTGGTGGAGGTGATGGCGTCATTCCGTGCCCCGGTGTAGCCTCCCGTGCTCGAAAGAAGAAGGGAGAAGGATTTTAGGCCGAGGCGATCGTGGCTCCCGCAGCCGGGATCGAGCAGCGCCAACCCGGACACCTCACCCCAACAAATATGGAGGCTGTGTCGGAGGAGCTGCGGGCCGGCTCTCGGATTCCGGTGCTCATCGAGCAGATAGTAAATGATACATTAGTGGTGACCCTCAGCTACAGAGATCGGAGCTACACAGGAATATTATTAGACTGCAACAAAAAGTAAGTGTTTGTTTTACTTAAATTATTTAGATATTGTACATTTAAAAGCTACGCGGGCCTATAAGGGTAAATAAAGGAGGCGACCGAAAGACATTAGGGCTAGGCCTTCAATAAATGTAATGGAGTGCTTTAGGAGATTAAAATGAATCTTTCACACGAACATTTAAACCTAGAATAATATCGTACAGAATTATTGTGTATTTATTGTCTTTAAAAGTTTCATGTTATTTAAAATAATAGAATTTAGAATAATATTTAAAATATTTGAACAAATAAAATATCTGAAAAAACTTAAACATTCGGATTGCAAGGTACATTTTATTTGCAATATCTATGCCAAAGTAAACAAGAATAGTAAAACCATATGTGCAATTTTTATGAAAAACGACTGAGCAAAGCCTCATTACAGAAATGTGGGTGGAATTATTTTTGTGCTGTTGCTGAGACCTTTTCATTAAACTTATGATGCTGCTTAAAATTAATTAAAACTTAATTTTCACTTGAATATATTAAGTTATTTATAGCGCTGTCTTTTCTAACATTATATGCTATAATGCTATGAGTTTCGTTTGTTTACTGTTCACTAGGTACTGTAGGTCCTTGAAAAACATAGTTGCCATTGTGTTGCAATTTGTTTATTAATATGCCTACCAAAGACAAAAAAAAGGCTATTAAAGGTTTTGAGGACATTAAGTGTGCTTGACTTGTAATTTTTCTACTGATACAGAATCAAATAAATAGCCCCTTTCTCTGTTGCACTATGTATTATAAAGCACGGTATTGTTTCAGCAATATATGTTTAAGAATGGGTTTTTCTAAAGAGTGTGGCTTTGAGTTGGTGAGCACACACTGTAGTACTGAGAATTAAAGATATGCACTGAATACTTTCAAAAAAGGGGATGAGGCATCTTGCTTCTAGTTACAGCCTGTCATCAGAACTGTTCAGTCACATGGATATGCCTTGTGTTGCTAGTAGCTTTAACCGTCTGATTATTTATAGAGAACTGTTACAATCCTGCCAGCTTTACTCTTAAACATATATTAGATTTTTGGACTTGGGAGTGCTGTGGGTTTTTCTTTACCCCCCTTTCAATCAATAGACAAACATTTTTGCAGGGAGCAATATGTTTTGTAATGGATGGGGTATTTATATCCATATTTGAAGTCTGAGTACCATTTTAAATAAGCTATCCAAGAGTTTGTAATAACAATAACCTTAAATAGGCCAAGCTCGAATGAGTGCTGTTGGCTTCTCTGCTTCACAACCTTAATGTCTGCATTGTTCTTTGGACAGTATGTAGATCTATTTTTATTTTTAGTTAGCCAACCTCATTGTTTCAGTACAGTTATACATGTGCAATTTTTACTGAGGTACTCTGCATAGTTCTGCATCTTTATGAGACCTTTGGGTGCACTTTTCTATGCATTAAGTTCCAGCTGTGCATGATAAAACATATAACCACTGTCATGGGGTATAATTTAACTAGTTTAGTTGTTGATGAAAACATGATTTCTAAACCATCTTTTAGAAATGCGTGCACCTACAGTACCTGCAGACACATGTACACACGAAGACAAAAACCTGAATCTGCCAGATCCTTGACTACTGCAGAGAATCATGGGATTGTTTTGTCCAGAGCAAAGAGGGGGGTTTTAGTATATCCTACAGCTCTTTGTTTGGTTTCTAGCAGAAAAGCCTGTTTCAATTCTGACAGGGCAGCAACAATTTATTTTTTGTGCTCAAAACGGTGATTTGTATTTTAACTCCTGAAACATTAAAATGTGAAAATATAAGCTTGAATACAACAGGAACAGGCTTATATGCGGTAGTTGTATTCTAAACATGAGAACAATAGCTTACTGCTAGACACTATCCCAACCCCCACCCTATTAAAATGCATAATAAATGCTCAGGTGATGTCACATTTAAAATGCAGGGTTTGTGTTAGCATGCAAGAGCCTTAGACATTAGCAAGTGAAATACTAAATTGCAATAGAAAACACGGGCTAATGCATGATTTTTTCAATAAAATCTGGTTAAGATAAGTGTTATTCAGAAAAACCATTTCAGATAAATCGGTCGGCCTGAAAAGTGAATAGCTGTTTAAAATCACATTAAATTACTCTACAAAAGTAACTAAACAATTTAAGAAAACCTGTTAAGAAATGGCAAAAAATAACCACTGCATATTCTTGTGCTTCACTTTTGTTAAAGGTCTTCAAAGACCTTACCATTTATGAGCAATTCTTTTCAGACCAAAATATTTTGAAACAGTTAATAAGGTGGAATGTATTAATTTTTTAAAGCATTTTTTTAATAGCATAGAGTCTTCAGTTCTATGAGATTTGTGTATGAGCTCCTATCCGAAGTTCACTTCCTTCTCCCATTTTGTCTGGCATTTCCTTACAGTACTCCTCAGACCAGACGCTGCACAAACAGTCTTTTTTCAGCTACTTCATTAAAGTAATATCACTGGTGTAAATAGTTTGCAGAGCTCCACGGTCTAAAACTTTTTGGAAACTCCCTTTTTTCCAGGAAATTGACTAATTATTTGGATATACTACCTTTTTGCAGCATTGAAATAAAGTATAAACTATTTAAGAAATTTTGAATTAATGTTGTAGATTGTAAATAGTACAGAGCCTTGTAATTGTAGTTTTTCTCACAATGCACGGGTATTTCTAATACACAGTTTTATTTCTAACCATTTCTCAAGAATGTCAAAGCTTCTGTGTGAATATCTTGTTTATTCAATCCTTCCTATACTTTTGGAAGGAGACTCAGTTCTTTACCCACATATAAGAATATGCAGTCATAATCTGTTTATTATTTTTTAGTGGTTAGCAAGTTATCTTCTTAGGTTGATAAATACAGTTCACAATATTTAAGACACATTTGTATAGTATTGTAATGTCTTATGTTAGATATAGGCCATTTCAAATCAGAAAAAAAATCCCCAATTGTTTTCAAGTCAATATGTGTTTCAGAGTGTAAAGTAGTTTTTCCATGCTAAAAAAAAAACAATTTAGATAAAATAAACAAATACATTAAAACCCTACACTGACACCAATGAACTGGTTTGTCAAGTGTTATGACAGCGGTATAGAGCTGACAGCTGACCGGACTTGCTTCCTGGTTGATTTCTTCAACATAAAAAAATTCAGCACAGAAAACTAAAAAAATGTGATGAACAAGAAACCAAGACGCACTTTAATTTTAATGAAGAGACTAACAGATTTTGTATGTATGTGATAGACATTGTAAGTAGACTGACCTAAAACATTCCTACTTTTTTGGAATAAATACAAAAACATTTATGGTTATAACTTTAATTATACTTGCTTATTGTTTATTATATAGTCCTTGTTTGATATTTTGTTTTTCAGGTATGTGAATCTTAGAGAATATATGTACTGTTCTTAAGTACATAGTTATCAATGCCTAGAAGAAAGTGGTGTATCATCATTCTTGTTTTATTTTATTTACATTATCATTTTCCCCTCTTAAGAAATTTTAGTGTAAGAGACCAGTACTTTACAAGCTTGCCATTTAAACATAATAAAGATTACAAATAAGAAGAGACCAGCTGTCTCTCATAGCTATTTTAATAGGGTTTATAGATTTTAAGTTTGTTCTTTGTCAGCAAATGCAAAATATGATACATTTTAAGTGTGATAATAGTAAAATAATGTTTTTTTAAAAAAAACAGAATGAAACTTACATCTCATAAAATGACATCTTACTGTTAACCAGGCCTATTCAACCTGTAGCCCCACCCCTCCACTACATTACCCCTCTGCCTATTATTATTATTATTATTATTATTATTATTATTATTATTATTATTAATATGTTTGTGCTGTGGTATTTATTTTACTCTGTGTTGAGCTTATAATAATGCTTATGTAAATAATGTCATAAGTCTAAAACGAAGAATTCAGTTTTGCTTTAAGATCTTATATTCACTTATCTGTACTGTAGCTATATTTTATATATCCTCGAACATATCATCATGTCCCATAACAAACTCTTGTTGACAGAATATCATTGATAATGTTCAAGGATGAAAGTTGATGTGAGCACTTTAACATAATCTTCTTTCCATAGTTTGAAAATTAAATTTAAATGCTTCTAAAAGTTGGGGCATGTCATGACCACAGTGATTTTTGTAGGCTCCATTACTACATTAAAGTTATATGATTTTTTTTTTATTTTGTCTTAAGTGCAACCATGATAATACAGAATCTATACATCTCCTCCAAGTTAATTTTAAATCAGGTGCTTTGTCTATTTAATACTGTATCCTTTAAGATGAAGGTCCTTACTTCTTAAAATAGGCTCAGGTTATGATGCCTGAAAGCTGGTCAAGAATTTGAGCTCTTAGTCCATCTATTCAAAGGAACTGGTCTCAGGATCGACTCCTAAGCTTGAGACCAGTTTTTGGCCCCTGGTTGTCTGCTGTAGCAATGATACTGTATCTCTGCAGTTGTATTACTGGAGGATTGCTTCCCTGTCCAGGAAACAAAAACGCATGACTAGAGCATAGGATATCACAAGGCTGAACATTACTTTAGATGTTCTCAATATATTTAATATGCCTAATGCATGCTTTACAGTTGCATAGCTCCAGTACAAACTCAAGTTTGAGATCTACAAACTCAACAAGGTCAAGTTTTTTTTTTTTATCTTTAGAACTGTTTGTGCTGTTGTTACTGTGCATTAGAGATCTAGTCCTGTACTTGAAATACACAATGCCAGCTTTTCAGTTCTTTTTCTTTATATGTCTTATAAACTTAGAATGTCCAGTCACTTTGTTCTGTACTGAATGTACAGTTGTTTTTTAAGGATCTTTACCTCCTCATTTATTTTTCAGCTGTTCTTTTGTAAAATAATGAAAGCAATGATGAAAAAACATGCTTAACTGTGCCATATGGCCTGCTGAACAGGCTTTCGGCTCTAGACGGACATGCCATTTGCTAATTGGGCTATTTAATATTAGTCTGCCTTGTCTGTCAGTACAAACTAACGTTACTGTCTAAATGTTCTCATTTTTTTGCTAAAGCAACTGTTAATAATTTGTCTATTTAGAATGGGATGTTTTCATGCATTTTTCATATTTCCCCAAAAAGTCTCTTATTCTATAAATAATTTTTTGCAACTAAAAACAGCACTAGATGAATGTCTGTGTGCATGTGGTTTGCATGTTTTATTTAGTGTATGCTTTTATTTGTATGTTTTCTTCACAGGACTGGGCTATTTTGTCTACCAGACGTATTGAAGCAGAGTGAACCTCCAGTATCAAAACCCAGTGGAATGCTAGATGAAAAAATGTGCTTTGAGCCTTCTGTCAAGCCTCAGCTACAACCAAGCGGTGAAACGACCCAGGTGATCCCTGAGAATCAGCCTGTCTCTACTCCTGCTCCTGTACCTACAGGGCTTCCCCCATACCCTCCTTATTTTGATGGGGTTCCTTTTCCACAGCCCCTGTGGGTCCGGCATAGCTACAACCAGTGGGTCCCTCAGCCTCCACCAAGGACTATCAAAAGAAGAAAACGACGAAGCCGGGATTCCAGCAGATTGACCATGAGTACGATTAGATTACGACCCAGACAGGTTCTCTGTGAGAAGTGCAAAAACACATTAAACAGCGATGATGATAACAAAGACGGACAAAATTCTAAAGCTGCTAAAAAGGAGAACGCTGAAGTTAAGGAGTCCAAAAGGCGCGAGGAAATGGACTTTGACGGTAAAAGATGGAAAAAGGAGAAAAAAGATGAAGACCGGTTTCCAGGGGAAATTGTTCCTCACAGTCCAGTTATCAAGATATCTTATAGTACTCCACAAGGAAAAGGGGAAGTGATGAAAATTCCCTCAAGAGTGCATGGCTCAGTAAAGCCATTCTGCCCAAAGCAGTTGATGCAGAATGGCATTGGGGACCACAACAAAAGCAGAGACCTTCAAGAAAACAAAAGCCTTCTTGAAAAGTCAGGAAGTTGCTCAGCTACATCCATTCCAAAACTCAAACTAACAAGGCCTTTGCATTCCAGTGTGGATGTTCCATCTCCAAAAATCAGACTAAAACCTCGAAACAGCGGAGAGGACAGCATTTCAATATATGAGGCCGAACTTGTAGATGGTCCACGGAGACAAAGCCAGCAGATGCAGAGATCAGTTCATACCGATATGCATTCAGAAGACTCTGTTGAGAAGAGTTCACTTGAGATGTCCTCAGGTAGCTCCGGGGAAGAGGATGAGTTTAAGAAGCAACACAGTGATGTGGAGCAACACAGTGATTTGACTTTGCTGCTTAATTTTCGTAAGAGAAAAGCGGACTCGTCTAGTTTGTCTGTCTGCAGCAGTGACAGTTTGGATGAATCAAAATCTTGCAGCTCAGATGGGACATCTCCAGAGTTGTGCGACTTTGCTCCTGGAGAAGATATATCTGTTTCATCATCTTCAAAAGATGAGCAGAAGACTGTTCCACCCTTAACGGTTCGACTAAACACCAAAAGTGTGACTAAGTGTGTAACAGAGGAAGGACGAACTGTATCGGTCGGAGACATAGTGTGGGGTAAAATTCATGGATTTCCATGGTGGCCCGCCCGCGTTCTGAGCATTAGCACAAGCAGAAAGGATGAAAGGGAGCCACTTTGGCAGGAAGCAAAAGTGTCCTGGTTTGGCTCACCCACAACCTCCTTGCTCTCCGTGTCAAAACTCTCACCCTTTCTGGAGTTTTTCCGTTTGAGATTTAACCGAAAGAAGAAAGGAATGTATCGGAGAGCTATTGCAGAAGCTGCCAAGGCAGCTGAACATTTGACCCCAGAAATAGCCTCTCTTCTCACACATTGTGAAACGTAGGTGAGTAGAATATACTTTCCAAAATATGTAGTTTTAGCAAATTCGCGAATTCCTGAGGTTTGTTTTTTTACTTACATTTTTCTCACTAACTAAATATGCATAAATTCTTGGATTGATACCAGAATTATCTTTAATTTTTAAGTATTGATGATAATGTTGAAGATTCAGTTTCATGAAACAGGCGTTTCCTTTTAGCTTGTAGTTTTTATCCCTGCTGCTCAAAGTGGTCTCTTTACACATTTTTTCTGCCTTGTATACAACAAGGTTTCAGGTTAGAATTCCAGCTGGGAGGCAGGGTATAGATAAGATGTCATCTTAGAGATGCATCACAATTTTAAATGTTAAAATAAAATTATAGGAGGGAAGAAAGGAAATCATTGTAGAAAATCTACTGCTGACTGTGCTGCTAACCTGCTGATGTTTGGCAATCACTGATCCCTAGAGCACATACAACCACTTTAGTCTGTTTCATCTGCATTGAGAGTTTAAATGTTTAAATGCTATTATATGCTTATTTCAAGGTTAATCTTCACAACCAGTGTTTCAGATATTTCTGTGTAAGAATGATCCCTTAAATATGGCCAATTAATACAGATCACTTGTAAGAAAAGTGTAGTTGCCATACTTCTTAGTTTGTCATGTAGAAAAGGTGTATGTGGTTCTGTTTGGGAGGAAGGGCATAGTTCTTTAGTTGTGTTGACACTGAATTGCCTAGAATATACAGTGTCCCTAACATCAGACAGTGTGGCTTGAACTGAAATGGGTCTTTTTTTTTTTAATTGCAGCTTATACAAATAAACCACTTATTTATACAAAACCTAGAAAATATTCTGGACCCACTTCTGAGAGAAAGCTTAGTAAGCCTCTTTGCATTTCTACAATTTTGCTATTATAACCCTTTATGTTGTTACCTGTTTATTAAAAACTGTTTGGTAGGGAAGCCTTTACATAGTTTGTTCTGAGAATTTTGGTAATATATAGCAGATGTTGAGGCGTGGATAATAAACAGTCAAGGTTTTTGTTGCTAGACTCTGCTCTGTTTTATAACTGAAGAGGTAAAAATCAAATATTTGCACAGCCTATCAGTATTGGAGTTATACAATTATACAAAAGCCTTGAAAGAATCATCAGGTTTTTTTTTATGCCCATGGCCTACAGGATGTCAGTCACACAGCAAATGACAGGAATTGAACTGGGGACTGTGAGTAATGTATGCTTCAAAAGTAGGTTCAATCTGCGAGCAGGTAATTGACCATTTAAATAAGGAAGTGTAGTACTGGGTCTAGGTGTCCTAATAGTTACACGATTGCACTGTTTCTGTGGAACATAGACCACCATGTAGGCCTACATTAATTAAAGTCCTGTATATCCAAATATTAATCTATGGAATTTCTTTCCCTATTTTTTGTGGTTTGAGTAAGGTACTGCGGTACCTTCTCATTTAGGGGATTTAATTTCGTGTACTTTGAAACCTAAATTTTCTTGATCTGAACCTATTATAACTTATAAGCCAAAAAATGTTCGAAATGACCATTGCTATGACAATCCTTTTATTCTCCCACCATGGGATTTATAAAAGATGAAAAGGTGTCCATCTTTTTTTACATATTGAAATACAATTCTCCAAAAAAACACGAGAACTTCTTTTGTGTAATAGTTTTCGTTTTGACACAAATAAGAATACAGTATATATAAGATACATCACATTAGTTAATAATAGTTAAACTTTCAAAACGCATACCACGTAGATTCCAAACGTGCTTAACTCTCTCCTGAGTTTATATTTTATATCATATTTCACAAGCTCATAATCAAATTGTGGTTATGTAAGGCTTGATTGCCTTTAATTTTTCAGTAGTGTGTTGGTGAACATGGAATACAGTTCTGAATCATTCAGGAATCCTTTTCCCTGCTGGATAAACACCATGGATTCAGCCTGGTGGTATGGCTATGCTGGTCAACCCAGTCCTCAGCCATAGCCTTCAGGGCAACTGTCTGCAAGAGTGTCCACACTAAAAGTTTTGCGTAAACAAACTCAATGTGTTATAAACACCAGACTGTTTGTGCAGTCTAAACAATTCTTGCTTTAGTAATGGTGATTTTTCACCATTTAATTTAAACTGTATCGTGGCTATTAGAGTAACTGCTAGCCTTTAAAAGTCTGAATTTGTAAAGTCCAACTTAAAAGACCATGCGCTTGCTTGGAATTGTTTGTCTCCTACGTCTCCTATCATTGGTAACATTCTGTGACATTTATCAATTTAAAATCTGTCCTCTCAAGTGGATGACCTAACCACAAAGCAGCAATTGTGGCATTCTGCTCTGTTCATCCTATCAAAACACTATTGCTACCTTAAAATTTCAATAACGTGTGAGTGTTTCCTTCTGGAACATGGTGCCATGATACTGAAATAGCTTGAAAGAGTTCAACTTGTGTGGAGTAGATACGATGCAAAACATTAAGGAGAACTATAAATTTGGATGATACACTCATGAAAGATCCTTTAAACTTAAATGGCAATAGATAAAATAAGAAAAAATAAAATACCCAAGAACTGTAAATTTAACAATTAAATTTGCATTTTAACAGCCAGAGCCATTTGGTGAAAAGACTACATTTCTAAAAGCAGAGTGGTACACAAGGCTGCCTGAACACACTTCTTTTCCTGATCAGGTTCCCAAAGCAGGTTTGTGATTAAGAACCAAGCATGTGGCAGTTCAGATATTTGCTACGTTTACACAGGTTTATATACTGTATATGTGAGTCCATAACGAAAAAATCAGAAATGTGGAAGGCAAAGTCTAAAATGAGGAGATCCTTGATGTATGCCAAGTAACTCATCAAGGTAACTCGAACAGACAAACTTGTGTTAAGTTGTTGATCGTTTTAAACACTTATAGCCCTTACTCAAGCGCAGTCAGCCTGACGCTTATTCTGGTTTCTGTAGTGTTAAGCATGTTGAGAGCACGTGACCCGCCACTAGAAAGAACAAAGGGTGCTTAGAGAATCTAAAACTTGAATTTGAACCTTACATTGATGATGCACAGGATAAATGTGAATTTTAAAATGTGTTATTATGAACAAAGTCAACTAAATTATATACCAGATAATTTTAACAAAATCTAAAAGACCAGATTTTTAAAGCCTTGCTGCCTTGCTTACAAAAATAAACTAAAGAAAAAAATACTTGTGGTGTTTTTCAACTGTTATTATTTTGGTGAAACTGATGTAGTACTTCACCTCTGTTTGGAAGTCAGAATTTCGAATATGATTTGACCATTTCATTTTAGGAATATTGTCACTTGCAAAAGAAAATATCTTACCTTATCTTACCTTACCATGTTCATTTGTTTGAAATAAAGCAGAGCACCAACAACACCAAAATTTACATTATTATCCCATGGCCCCAAAATAAAATGCCTTCTAAAACATTTTAGTATAGATGCAGTGGCCATCTAATAAATATTTCCATTTGACAAAACACGTCATCTTTCAGCTTTACTTATTTTTATGCGATAATGTTATTGGTGAGACAAAGGCCAAAAGGAACCTTACTTTTTTGAGGAGCAGATTAAATGCATCTTCATCTTGAATTAAAATTGTTGAATCAAAAATAAAGTGCAATCAGTTCTGAACATCACAATTCTGAATGCCTTGAAGTTATTTTTGTGAAACTGATGTTCTATTTCACTTTTGTCAAAAAAGCCTGTGTGTTTTAGGTCAGATCTTTCATTTTTGTTTCCTGGAAAAAAAGCATTTGCTTTTGCAAACTGGTTCTGTCATATTTTGTGTCCAACAATTCATTATGTTGCCTCTTTTAATTGTGAGTACTTTATGTATGGAGCATCAGAAACATTTTATATAAACTGTTACCAAATTCAGGGGATTGAAATTTTATTGACTGTTTTTTTTTCATACCCTAATTAGGACCAGTCCTAAGCTTGCTTATCTAAATATTTATTAGGTAATGCAATATTAGAAAAAATAAACTTGATTAAATAAATGTGCAGGTTTTGAAGAGATTTGAAAGAGATTTTGTGCCAAATTGTTTGTATTACAAAATATATTCCTACGTTATCTGGCCACATTATAGTATTGTAACTTGTTCCAGTTTCTATAAAAATGGTTGCAAAGGAATGCTAAGACTTATAAAAATTCTAAAGATGTATGGGACAATTCTCACTGCAATGATCAAAAGTTACCCAAGCAATTATAATTGTATATTTAAACTTTTGATTTTGTGGGTTGACTTAAGTTTTAGTATACAATTGTTATTCTGATTATATATGCATTCTGTAATCAAATCAAAGTTTATTTATCAAATGCACAACAAAACAGCATGCAGCAGTAGTTGCTGGCAATGAAATGTCTTTAAGAAGGAAGGTGCTGTTGACGAGGATGGGGTTACCATTTTTGCCCTTATCTGAAGAGATTTTGTGCTGTTATGAGATAATCAATCTGAAATTAAAATTAATCTGTCTGCATCCTATGTATCGATTAGACATCAGAAGGTTATGTTGCATGATGGAGAGAATCAGTTTGGCTTTTTGTAGCAGGTGAAATGTAATTATTAGTTATTAGTGTGTAAATGGTTGTGTGAATTTGTACACTGCGATAGGCTGGAGTCCCTGCAAGATTACTTCAACTCACTTCGACCCTTGGAGGATAAAGCATTTTCTGAAAAGTGATGGATGAGTGATTGAATAAATGGTCTGTATTTTAGCAATTAGGTCATATTATGTCCTCTACGTAAATCACTTTTAAATATTCAATGCATTTACCGTTAACAGTTTTAAACGAAGAAAATTTACCGTATGTAATTTGGGAGTTGGTTTTAAAATATTGCCTGTTGTAACTAAAGTGCACATGCTATAAAGGATTCTTGCAGCATCTACAAAATTTTAAATGGCTTTCATTTAAGAATTTTAAACAGCTGTGCCGATTTAACTGGTTCTGTAAAAAAAAAATCACAAAGCGGTCATTCGAGGATGTTCTGTTTCAATTCAAAGAAAATGTGTGATAAACCTAACAGTTTAATTTCACACTCGGTGCAATCCATTGTAAGCTTTTCTTCCTCATATGAAAAGTTAACCTAGTGATTTTTAATAGATATTACAATATGTCTCTTAGTAAAAGAATTCTTATTAACTGATTAATCTATATGCCATGTTTTTTATCAAGGCATTCATCAATGTGGTTACTTTTTCCATTGCTACATTGTCAGGGTGGGCCTTGAGCTTTGCTTGTTAATGTTTTTGTAATAACTGTTGTTTGTTCTGATAACTATCTTTCTGACTTCTCTCCTTTTCACGAGTTCATATTAAAAACCTTGCTTATTAAATATATTTCTGTGATGTGTTTTGTAAATGCTAGAAGGTATACAGAACAAATCAAATCACTACAGTATCAATTATGGCCACACTGCGGCATGGTGTCTCTGTAATGTAATGTCTCTGACTTGCCTGAGTGTCCTTCAGTGGATTGTCATGCCATTCAGGGTATATTCCTTCCTTGTGCCCTGTGTTTTCAAGATACATATCTGAGTTGCTGCAACCCTTGCCAGAAATAAGAGGTTTTCTGATAATGGATGGATACATCACATTCAAATGATGAATCATTTATAGCTTTACTATCCTATAGTAGCTATACCGTGACCTTGGAATGATATTGAAATTATGTTCAGCATAAATGTTCTTTAAAACTGAATAATTTCAAGTCATGTTTGGGTTAAATTGCCCCTCAAGAAAGAATAAGTCCAAGCTCCAGATAAGTAATGATGGCAAGTATTTAACGTTTTACTGTGAAACAGTCATGTGTAAGTGATGAACACAGTCAAAGCTGTCTGAGGAAATTACATACCACTTAATGGGTGGAGGGGGATAATCATGAATGCTGCATCTTTGTTTTTACCTTACTGACAATAACACTGTACCCTGACTGCAATGAGAGAGTTTAACATTTATTGCATGCAGTTAATAAAAAAAGGAGACCTTCAGATGCTAAGAACTCCTGAACATTCAAAAAGTATTTTTTATTTAAATTTATTTGCTGACTAATTTGGTATCTCCTTTTTTCCCTTTTTAAAAGACACTGAAGATTGGAGTACAGCTGTCTTCCAAGTGATTAATAATCCTACGAACATCCATCTATGTTCCCCAGGAGAGCCTTTTGGTTGCCATACTTCTTGATATGGGAAGATCTTTGTTATTGAAGCCCTCCTCAGCTTGGGAGAAGAACAAGGACACCTGGGTGAAGCAGTGGTCACGTTAGGGAGCAAGACATAAATGAGGCTTCTCAAGGACAACTTAAGGATTCCTTTTTAGAATTTATTTTTAATAGAGTGAATAGTGATCCTACAACTCAGAATGTATTTATTATCTGCAACACTTTAGTCAATCTTTTACAATCTAAATCTATTTGCTGCTGCTTGTTTTACATAATGGATATTTCACCCAGCTATGACTGTTAACAAGAGATATGAATGACTGAATTACATGAATCCTGGTGCCATCAGTTTTTAAAAAGAAAAAGAACAGTCTTATTGTACAGTTTTCACTTTACAGATCCAAAAATAATGTGAAGCATTGGTTTTCTGAAATCATACAGTAGGTCTTAAAATTCGGTATGTTATTATTTTTAATAGCTGCAGCATTGTTACCCTTTTCATGCCAATACGTTTCTATATTTCCATAAAAAAGGAAGAGTTATTTTTGTGTTTATCTTAGACTACTTTCTATGCTGGTGATCGATGTATCTTTCTGTTCTTGCTCTATTTAATGTTTCGTTAGAAGAAAGCACTTTATCTTTACCTTGGTGGCCTGCTGTAAACCAGTTTTGAGTTTCTATGTCACAACACTAACTGGAGTTCCTCAGATAAAAGCATTAAATGGTTCTTGTAACATGGATAAATAAACAATTAATTTGAAAGCAACAGTTCTTATATGGGGGTGTATACACTATTCTTGCACTTAATTTAAGTGTATTGTACATTTTCCCAAATGTTCCGTTCGAGTAATGAATTCTATGCATCATGTTTTGTATAAAGCTTTAAAATATTGAATGAATGCTGTGAATGCAACACCAGTTTATTCTAAAGAGGAAGTCAGTGATCAGGCTTACTATTATTGAAATGAAAGGACTTATTGAAGCTCAAGAATATAAGAAATATTTGCCTGACGTGTTTTAAAAAATAAATTACACAGTAAGTAATGAGGTTGGGGGTTGAAGGGAGAGGAGTTTAAAACATACGTATTGCATATTTAAGGCTCACTGTAATTGCACTGCCCTAAAAAAAGGGCTTGGTTTCTATTTCTTTACATATGTATATTTTTGAGAACATTTGGACAGTGTTCACATATTCATGCCGTTTCACTTGTATAACCTGCTGGTTTTTGAAGACTGGAAACAACAGGTGAAGATATTGCATAAAGCAATAAAGTAACTTGCTGTGACCCATCCCAACTTACTGAGCTATTTTTGATTTACTGTACGTAAAATAAAATATACAAGCAATATGTGCATTCCAGTCTTTTTTAAACAATTTTCTGACAAGCTGAAATGTTAAGCCTAAACAGGTTAGCTATCATTATGGATTAATATGGGTGATGCAATCTTTTTGTACTTCTTTGGAATCAGGCGTATTGCTTTAAGTATAGAATTTGTCCCCATCTTTGCCTTGCATTCATAAGTTTTCCGTTTACTGTATTTTGATTTCAGTCCCTTTACTGTGAAGGCTCAGAACTGCAATGTTTAATTCTCAATTGTAGAAGTCTGTTCTGCATGTTATACACAGCACAAGGCATTGAGTCTGAGTGAAAAAGATCAAAGATTGCTCAAAGGTGACATTCTAAGAACATTGATCATTTTTTAAAGGTTGTAATTTTACCAGGTTTTTACCATATACTCAAGTTTCTTTGCTTAATGTTTTATAAATGTTTATCTTTCTTTCATGAAAAATGCTTTACAAGACCACAGCTCTATGAACTCCCATGATTAACAGACTAAAGCTTTATTTCTTGGGCAGTCAATTTATATACTGAACATTAAATGTGACTAATTTTTTTTAATTTTTTTAGTTTTATGAACTTTGAATGTTGAATATTTTAATATTTTGATTAATTGACTGTTCATGATGTATAAGCACTAAGCCACCTCATCAGAGAAAGTCCATTTGAAACACATGATGAAGTCATTTAACATGTTTATTTGAATCCTGGCAGAAATCTAGGGTTAAAAAAACAAAGGATCCTCATGAAAGTTACCATCATATTGTGCCTTTGATGTACATCTTTATCTTCCGCATGTAGCAAGAGCTTTCTTGTGAGGCATGTGTGATATTCACTTGAATATGAGAGTATTGGAAATGATGGTCACCTTGCCAGATAACGAGCCCCATCAAAAAATATGGGATAAAATGGGATGACTTGTGGCATCTAGGGCTCGGAGACCATTGAACAGGCTTATGCTTGTCCAAGCTTTATGATGGGAAGCCATATGACAGTGTCAGCCAAATGGTGTCAAGTATTTATCCCAGATGTATAGCTTGTATTGGTAGTGTGACACATAACAATAGTTGTGACACATGCTGCTGGTCTGAGTTTTACAATAGATCCCCTGCTGATGATAAATGTTAATGAGCATAATGAATTGCCTGTATTATCTAAAAAATGTTAGGTTTCCTGCTATAAAAAAGGTTCTTTTTCCAGATAACTTTGTGATTTTGTTGCACTATAAAGTGATCCGTTTCTTTATTATATACAGTACATATATATTTAGGGGATTGGCTGCCCAGAAAATCATCAACCTCTTTAAGATGGAATGTTTTGCTATTTTTAATGCTCTTCGGATCTTGAGACTTAAGCTTCAGCTATGTGATTTAGTAATAGCCATTCCTAGATTATAAGATTAGCTGTGCCACGTGGTTTTAGTCAAGCTATTAAATGAAATGTTTGAACACTGTAGCTCACAGGTATTGCATAATAAGTGCTAAACCAGTTTATAACTTGCTAGTCTCACACACCTAATTGATGAATTCCCTTTTAATTTTCCTAACGCTTTTTGACATGAGATGCACCTAGCCACATTGTTTTTCTACATTTTTTAGCTGTTTCATAGTTTTTTCTTATTTTGTTGCTTTCAAGCATACAATTATAACACTCACTTTGAAATACCAATAACTTTGTTATACAGTGAGATGAAAAAGAAAGAACACCCTTTTAAGATTCTATGGTTTTGCAGATTAAGATATACTTGATGTTCACTGTCCTCATCAAGTCCTAACAGTAGATAAATCTAACCCCTATGTGACAAATAACACGCCAATTTTACTTTACTAATTTATTAAAATAATCAGTTACTTTCTTTTCAGCTACCTATGCCACACATTCAAACAAAAAAAACACCCATCTCTGTGAGTTTCTTTGGTCAGGTACTGAATTTCAAGCCAAGACTCAACCATGAAGACTCCAATAGTGATCTCCATACAACTCGAGAGCTTGAGAAAATCTGCAAAGAAGAATTGGTAAAAATTGCACCAGGCCAGTGTGCAAATTAAGTAGAAACTTATGAATTTGACTTGAGACTAATGCTTTAAGGTGCTTGCACAAAATATTTATTTCATGGGTCTGAATACTTACAGTATGCAATCATCATATTTTATTTTTCATTTTTGCTGACATTTACTGTCAACTGTCTTACCTCTTGATGACTTCAGTTTTGGTATTCAGGTTTTGAATAAAATGAGTTTGAAAACACCCAAAGAAATGGCCAGATTTACTGAAGTGTGAGAGTTCAGATTCTCCCAAGCATATCTTAAATTCATTCGATTTTTTGGGGGCTTCTGTTTAAGTATCTTTAAAAAAGAGTTCCATTGAAGCATTGTGTTACATTGAAATCGTCATATGAAGGTTACGTATAACACATCATTTTTTATTTTTCAGGTAAAAGGAAACAACTGCAGAGATCCAATTGGAATGCTAGTGATTTGTATTGCCTGTCCAGATTCTCTTTCACTGTGTTTGAGAGTTGTGTTCTTAATTCAGTGAAAATTCATTTGTCAATTCGTTTGAGCCACTTCGACTTCCTTAATTTAAATTTCTGTGTAATTTTAATGGTACTTTATAGATCATAGTTTTAATGTGATTTTAAATAAGAGGTTGTTGATACACAATGTCCTGTCTTTTTATGTTATGTTGTTTCTTTTTTCACTTATTAAATTTAATTTCCCTCAGTTATTTTTAAGATTAAGAGAATATCACTATCTAGTGTCCCCATGACCCTTTGCTGAAGCAGTTAGAAAATGGATGGATAGACATTCTGGTGTTCTTCTTGACTAAATTCCCCAAGTAAGTTATGTTTATAATCTTTTGGGCCTTGTAAGAAATCCAGCAGCATATCACAATTGTTCCAGTTCTTAATTTACAAAGCTAAATGTTACAGTTTATACTTCTTAGAACATTGCCATTAATATTTGTGAACATTGCTATTTTGCATTGATCTCAGTGACAATTCTACAGATTTTTCTGTTCCAAGGCTGAAGTATTTACCATTGTACACCCTATCAATACCTGGTACTGTATATCCTAAAACTCACATAGTCCACATGTGCAATCTCAGCTCAAAAACAGGTAAAAATGTATCAGCACAGCACATTGCTGCAATGTGCCCACAAGTAGTTAAGACAAGGAGAGAAAATCCCTGACGAAAATGCATTTCAAGCCAAAAAGCTCATCATTAGGTAGAAATTTTTAAAGAACCAAGGAAAATAGTGATTTATATTTTGTATCACACACTCAGCTGTCAATTAGCAAATGCTCGAGTATATTAATGTTTATCCCCAGACATAGTGAATTACTATACTCACCACATTATGTAAGTCAACACTGTCTTTACTATCAGCCTAAATTGGGAATTAAATATAAACCAACAAAGCCCTAGTCAATCTTTTCTCACCATGGCTTCTGCATTCTGTTAAAAGGGAACTGCAGTAAATGTCACACGATGATTAGTGCTACTGAAACACCATATCCCTGGAAAAAAGAACATGTTGCAGTGGTGTAGTGAAATGCACATAGCATTAGGCAACCTGAAAAAAAATAATCAGGATTGTCAGCTTCTAATGTATTGATGTTGTTCACCTCCTCTCCTTTTAAGAATAGCATAAAAGCATTTGAAAACATCAGTAACATTTGGTGCTTCAGTATTATATTGTGGCGGCAAGAAGAAAAACATGGGATATAGAATTATGCAGCTAAGAAAGATAAGTTGATGATACCAAGTCATCTTTTCACATAAGAGATTAGTAGTACTGTACCTTTTATAGGTTAATACATTTGAACATGACCATTTTACAAGTTCATATGACACTTTGATGGTTGATTTTGACATCATTAACCCAATGTTACTTACAAACTCCAGCACTCTCTGAGGTTTTCACAAATAAAGGGCTTGGACCACATGTATCAGAAAGTATCTGAGTGCTGCCCAGTGTTCTTCAATACCATATGTTGGTAATATTTCTCATTTTAGTTTTTGTAAAAAAATGATCCGTCTTGTAACATTTTCTAATAACTGTGCTTGCAAAGAACAGGCTTCTTCTCAAACTACGTGCAAAACATTCACATGGATAAATACTGTATGTAAAGAACTTATTTTGTAATTCTGAAAAACACACTGTGTTGAGAAGCAGGCCTATGTGATGAAACAGGGCTTAAGTTGAACAGCTAGTTGAAGAGCTAGGTGTATATTCCTGCGGTGTTCTACCTCATGTTCTTATAAACTCACAAGTTTCTGTTATTTTCAAGAAAGTATCATAACCCCTTTATAAAAAAAATATTTTTCCATATGGTGCCTTAATTGTGACTTGTGTTGCTGCAGTAATTTTGTAAAAAAAGCACAATAACAGATACAACTTTGTTTATTTTTGTTTAGAATGCAACATGCACTTAGATCTTCAGTTGTTTGTTTAATCTTTGTGTCTAAGATAAACTCAGTATGAGTTTTTGTCACATAAGTAGTCTTATGGAAGTCTGCTGGTTAGAGTAACTTTTTTGTGTCAACACTTTCTGATTTCTTCTCATTAAATAGTTAATTGGGTAAAATTAACATTTTGCTCAATATATATTGCCTGCATCTATTTATAAATGGCTGTAAAGTCTACACCACTGTGGCTTAAGAAGCTTGCATTTGCCTACCACTGTCATTGGTGGACTTCCTGAACTTAGTATTCTGTTCTGTCTGCACTGTTTGCCCTTCAAGTGGAGTTGAAAAGTATAACAAAATGGAAAGATCCAGCCCTTTTTAGAAGACAATCAAGAACTATTATACTGAATGATTATGGTCCACTGCAAAAGGCACATTTATTTTTAAATGAACCTTAACCATTTGAAAATCATAAGGTTTTCCGGGCAAAGTTTAGAATTGACTGACCAAAGCTTAGGCTAGAAACAGCAGAGCTGGAGTGCTCAATGTCCTTGAGCAGCATGATCCCATAAGATTAGAGCTCATAAGAAGAT